CCTGCCATGTACCCCTTGCCCTCATTTTGTTTTTCTGCCATGCCGGCACTCCGGCACCTCCTGAGGTAGGCATTGTGGTGTTTTTCAGCCCTCCAGCCAAAAAAGTGTTGCTTACCCCTGTGCTAGTCTATATTGTGTGTAGTTTAATATATTAATTTATTTACTTACATAGGATTCCTGAAGAAGACTTTTCTCAGATCTTGTTCCACCACTTCATTGTATTAGCTTTCTGTATATGGCTTGTACTCTTTCAGGACAGTTTCTACATGTTATTAAATGTTTCTTCATTCTTGTTGCATTGATAGCATACTCTTACCTTAAATATTTACATCTACCAACTTTCTTCCTTTTTTCCATGGCTTGAACTTCACTATAATGATGCCACGCACTAGTTGTTGGGTTTTTTTTTTCTGATTAGGCATTATTATGACTACTTCAAACCAAAAGCACTAAAAAAAACTAAGACCTTATGCAACCACTTCCAACTTTCCCAACTCAGAGAGTTTGAGAACCACTGAGTTAGAGCCACTAGTAAAGTGTGTTGTTCTTCTCATTCACATATGCCTGTGTTTACTGAACTGGGTGATGACTACAGAAGTGAAGCTAACCAGTCTCTAGCTGGGTCACTTGCTGCTCTCTAAACTGCTGGGTCCTCACCTGTGTCCTTCCCCCAGCTGTTCCAGAACAAGCAAGTTCTTAAAAGCCATTACCGACTTCAATCTCTTCTTCATGAATTCTGGGGACCCTCCTTCTATTAGTCATGCGTTGCAGCTTCTCCTTTTTTCCCTTTGGCTCTTCAGTGCCAGCTTCTCAGGACTCCTATCCAAGAAGTCTTTATATTCCCTGATAGTGCACAGTGTGGATACCTATGCTTCCAGACCCTTGATTTGTTCCTTCAAGATAGACACTAGCTTATAATTGGTGCAGATGAAATGTTTGTGTTCTCCCAAAGGGTCAAGACAAGACATAGTCTCCACTTGTGCCTTCTATGCTCCCTGGGCAACACCTAGGCTATAGGAAGCAAAACAAATAGAGCGGGAGGGGGGAAACCAACCCACACCCATGTGTGTGGCATGCACACATTCATTCACACAGGCACAAGCACCCATGGGTATCCTGCTCCCTCCTGTGACAACTCCCTCTGTGCTTGCTTCTCTGTTCACAAGGGGCTGCCTTTAATAAGCCTGGGCATGCCTGGGTCCACACTTTAATTAGCCAAAGCAGCCTCTATTGAGAGAAACTACACACAGAGCTTTGAGCCCAAATCCTGCCAAGCAATCACTTTGACACAGGCACAATTCAAACCTACAGATACAACAACAAATCAGCCCCCCTGAATTTCTGGTCTTTAAACCATCAGCTTTCAGAAAAACCTTCACATAGGGAGACAATCTAGCTTCAGTTGTCCAGCAGCCACAAAAAAAAGCAGAGCAGGGGAAGGGGGAGATGGTCTGTGGGGGGAAGCTGTCCAAGCTGTCATTGGGCTAAGAGCCTATGGAAGCAGTAAGTTTCAACTGAAGTTCAACTGTTGAGAAGAAACCATAGAGTTGAGAAGCAACAACATAAAGGAGCCAATATACAGGGACAGAGGATGTAAGGTGCTGGGGCCTAGGAGATCTGATCTAACAGTCAGGCCACTGAGGGAAGGCAGGGGCCAGGGGTTGGTTCAGAGCTCAGAAGTCACATTGCCAAATCTAGAGGAGAATCCAGGGGCAGAGTCCACAACACAAGACCAAGGTCAAGGTCCAGGAATTGGATGCTGAGTTACCAAATCCACAGGGCCAAGTCCAGAAGTGGAGCCAAACCAGGGTCAGGAGCCAGAAAACAGATCCAAGGGAAATCCAAAGCCAAAATCCAGAAACAAGTCAAACCCAGGGATGCTTATACACATGCAGCAGGGTTGCTCTGATGCACTGCAATCACAGCATGTTGGAGCTGACTCAATTGAGTCTGCTGGAGTGCGGTAATTACCATGCTCCAGAAGACTCCAGCATCACGTGTGTCAGCACCCCCATGCTGAAAAATGGCGGCGGGGGGCGCTTTAACTAACACTTGTTTAAGATTTACTTAAAAGCACCCCTGCTGCCATTTTTCAGCACAGAGACGCTGATACACGTGACACTCTGGGCACTCCAATTTAAATGCCCCCCTGCCCACTCCCAGAGCATGTATATAAATGCCCCAGGAGGCTTACCAAAGGAAACTGGGTCAGAACTGTTGGCTAGCCTAGAGGCAGTTGCAACAGGTGGGACCTGTGGCAGCTGGGGTCACCCCCAGTAGCTAGTCAGGAAGCCAGACAGTTAACTAACTGGGACAGAAAGCACTGAGCAGGAAGGAGGCTCCATTCCAGCAGGCTGTTTATGAACAAAGCACCCCTCACATTGGCAACAAGCACTGAGTATATACTTTCTAACAGGTGAGCTCCATTGCTCTAATGGGTTAATATTGTGATCAAAGTAGCCACCAATATCATTACCAGGGAAGTTCTCCATGGCACATAAAACAGTCATTGAGAACACACACGCCACACGTACGAAGAGAAGCACGGATTTCTTAGGGTGATATCTTTTACTGGACCAAGCATGTAGTTGGGATCAAGCTGGACAAGCTTTCGAATGTAAGCCATTCTTTGTCAGGTCAGGGTTACAATCAGTGGCGACGTACAGCGGGTGCATGTGCACCCCCTGAAAGCACTGATGCACCCCCTGACAGCAGCGTTCCCAGGCGGGGGGGGCAGACAAGAGCGCTGGTGCCCCCCCAGTGCACTAGGAGAAGTGGTCCCCCCGCAGCCGATCCTGCTCACCTGGAAGTGCCAGTGGCGTGCCGCTGCCAGTTGTGGGTCAGCAGGATCAGCCACAGGGCCCCCCCCAGTCACTGACTGACTGCTGTGGGGGACAAGCGGCCCACCTGACTCAGGAGCCACCAGTCACCCAGGACTACAATAACACTTTTGCTCCCCTCCTGTATATGGAGAGAATCCATCATCCTGGTGCCCACAGGCAACAAGCCAGGTGTCAAGACTGGGGAACTGCTTTGCCTTAATTGAGCCAGTTGGCCAAGCACTTGTACTGCAGGCCTGCCCATTTGTCAAGCGCCCCGGCTTTCCGCGACACTGGGGCGTGCACTAACCACTAGCCCAATTCCACCGCGCAGGACAAAAGACTAGGGAGTAGATTAGTGCACAGGTAGCGGCACTAGAAAGCCCCAGTGCACGGTAGTGACGGCGCAGGGATTTAGCACCCGTTTGGCCTACACGCGGGTTGCGCGATGTAATGCCCTCGGCTGGCTCCTGCCCCCCGGCGCGCGGGTGGGAGCCGAGCGCCTCCGCTCACCCGCCAGCACCGCCCGCGAAGTTGCCTCAGTGCAGCCCAAGCCGGTGCGGGGCTTGCCCGGCTCCCGCCGCCTCCTTCAGCGAGCCCGGCTCCCGGCGGGCAGGAGCCCAGGACTAGAGAGCACGAGCCGCCCGCAGCCGCCGTGCAGCAAGTGCGGGGCGGAGGCGGCCCCTGGGGGCGCAGGGAGCCCCCGCCCCGCCGGGTC